ATTTAAGAAAGGACTTGTGTCGCTAAAGTTTCGTCGGAACGAATTTACGGAAAATTAATTAACGAACGAAAGGAGACGTAACAATAATATAATTTTCTCTTTCAAGTGAGAGACGTAATCAGAAGTAATAAAATACAATAAATCATATTTCTCTATTAGAGTCGCCACGAACTAGGAAAAGTAAAGGAATTTGAAGGAAAAAATAGGTAAAAAGATAAATGAAAATTTATAAATTAAGCCTAAACCTGAAAAACATAGGTAATATTTTGTTTGCTCTCTGGTATTGTTTCAGAACGTGCACACAAATCACACTTCTTACCTATACCAATTATTGGTAAAGTTCAATATAATCTTGGTCATAATTATTTAATTTATTATGTTTTATAACAGTTTAAGCAAATACTCTTTTGCAAAGAAAAAGAAAAGGGAACCATTTTATTGTTTGTCATCATGTTGCACAACATTTTTGTAGGAATACCTTTTTTTAATGCAAAGTCCAGTGGTTAGCGTTCCGGACAGTGTTTCGCGTATTATTACCGCTAAATGGGGCACAAAATAAATACTACACAAGTTGGGGAGTTGGTGCGTTATAAGAGTGACGATCAAATACCAGTATTCGATAAGAGCATCCCACAAGCTAGCGGTTGGTGGTGTTAACTAGCTGTCTTCTTTTTAATCTGTCACTTTAGCATTAAAGAAATAGTATTTCTAAATCTCAAATAGCTTTGGGTGAAATTCAACAAACCATTTTCAATACTGTAGGATGAAATATGTTTAGGTTTTAATAACCTTTGTAACCAAATTACAAGCGAAATTGGTGTTAATTACTATAGAATTATGCAGAAGAGTTTCAAACGTGTGTCGTCGGCGCGCGTGAGAAGGTCTGGAAAGCAAAGGGAATTATTTTGTAAGAATATGACTACCATGTATGCAGTTGATTAACGTAATATGCTAATAGCTTTATGTAAATGAGTCATTACAAATTGTTACATTTTTAAATAGCTGAAATGTTTGTGATTTATGCAACATTACTAGATACGTTATCAGGAAATAATTGATCTAGGTTTCAATATCCTTGTTGAAGTTGAGTGTATCGGTAAAGTTATATTCGGAAAGAATAAACCA